CTGAAGAAAATAATTTGCGCAAATTCCACCAGTCGTAAACCGGACGGCAACTCCTCCTTAGACTATAACCCATTAAGATCGTGAAATTAAAGAAGCCCATGTTCTAATAATGGCCAGCGTTCGGTAAACCCTGAACGATGCGGCCGAAAAGACATTCAGTGTGTGAGCATATCCGGTCAGCCATGTATGAAATAACAGACGTTGCAATATTCTAAATAATTACAGAATATGGGAAAAAAGAAGTATCTGAAGTTCAATTCATCTAATCAGAGACATGGCGCGAGAGAAAGACGAGAACTGTTACTGAGGGAATCCGGTTTATCCTCAAAAAAAAAGAAGGCAGTTTTGACTCGTAAGCGAAATTTCCCGAAGCCTTTGCAAAAAGCAACATACAAACCAACCGTTTTCTCATCAATTTCAATGGTCAGGCAAATGGGTGTTCCATCATCCATAAGGTCCATTGCATGCAATTTCGTCAATCCCTTCTCGTTTTTTTCTTTACTAGCAACCTGAAACAGTGCTCATTTGAAATTTCAAGACGGTGAAATCATAAGACCGTGTCCTAGACACTTCCAAAAATTGTTGCCTGCATTCACTTCTACAGCGTCACTCTGAAAAAAAAAGCATCCACGCTGATAAGTAAAGTGGCAGATTCTAATTCACTCAGCTTGAAAGGAAGTTCAACCTCTTTCAACAACCTCCGCACAGCAAGTTCGGCATTATGTTGTATGTGAGACATATAAGCTTGCACAACATCCAAGCCATATGTGTCAATAAGTTCACACACTAAAGATATGCCCTGAAAGAACAGTCATTTTTACTAAAAAGCATTACCAAAAACATAATAAATAGCGACGCGCACTACACTAGCCGGTGTGGCCATGCGTTTTGTGCAGTTTTGTCCAGTGGACGTTTGCCTATCAAGGATTTTCACTGTTTTACACTTTAGTCTGTGCAAAAATAGTCGATATGCTGCTTGGTTCCTAAACTGTGAAATTTCTTAGCAAAAATTTCATATATCGGCACGTAAAACGAAAACGTACGTGAAAGCTGAATTTGAAACCCTGGAGGGTGAACACTGCCCCAAGATTTTAAGCTCTTATTTCTTTGGCTTATGCTTAACGTTCTTAGTTCTTTGGCTTATGCCCTTCACGTGATCGTCCTCGCCACACTTGGAAGCTACATCTGAGTTTGTTAGGCCCCTGCATAAGTAAAAAAGAGCCTCCTGAAGTTTTTAGCCTCTTAGCCTTCTAACATCCAGAGTAACAATTTTTTCCGCCAAAACTTTCATAAGGCCGTACGTGAGACCTAGGTTTCTGTGGCAGCTCGTTTTGAATATGTGGAGTAATAGGTGGACAAAGGACATTATCCTAAAATTTCAGTCTCCTAGCCTTCCTAATTCCGAGATAATTCCCCACCGAAAATTTCACGGAGCCATACGTGGCAATCAGGGGGCGAGAAAGCTGAATTTAAATTTTCGGTGTCGCACGTTGGCAGAGAATGTTGCAAGAAAATTTCAGCCCATAATTTCTGCGGTCCCCGAAGTAGTAATTTTTCCTGTCACAACTTTCGCGAGGCCGTTCGTGATACACGGGGCATGCGAACGCTGAATTCAAATTTAAGGGGTCGTACGTGAGTAGGGAACGCTCTATCAAAGTTTCAGCTTCCCAGCTTTCGTGATTCCCGAGATAACAATTTTAACACCAAAAATTTCGCGGAATCCTGAGCAATACTCTAGAGAATGTGAGAGCTGAATTCAAGTTTGATGGTTCGCACGTGGGCGAGGAACATTTTACCAAAATTTCCGTCTCCTAAGTTTCGTGATTCCCGAGTTGAAATTGCGGGACAAAATGCACTCCGACACACACACATATATATATATATATATATATATGTATATATATATATATATGTATATACGTATGTATATATATATATACATATA